CCCCTTGCCTTTTCAACCTTGGTGGGCTTCTTGTTTGTCTTCTTCCCCTCCATTCTACCTCAAGGCAGGCCTTCTGTGTTACTATCATTTCTTTCTCATTCTTCTACTAAACCTTTCCATATGAACATGCTTTAATTTATACCCTTCACCGAGTGCCCCTTTCGATTCTTGTCGTTCGATATGCTCTTTAGGACTGCGTCCTTTCACACGATTCACAGCTTGGAAGGAAGGAGGGAAACGGAAGGCGCCCTCCTATCGGGTGCTTAAGCGACGGCAACGTGGCGGTTTTCGGAGGCGTCGAGGATGTTGGAGGGAGAGGAAATGGCACCATACATCGACAACTGGCGCGAGGAGGTACGACGATGGACTAGCACCGACATCGTGAGGAGAGATCCACAGGATGGTGATGGCAAAGGCAGGGGACGAACGGACAGCAAGTTTGATCGTGACGAAACAGACGGGAGCGGTGGCGGCGGAGGCCGAAGCGGAGGAGGGGGCGGCGGTGGTGGTGGTACGGGCAGAGGGGACGGGAGTGGCAACAACCGTGCCGCAGGAGGTAGCGGAAGAGGAGGAGGCTCCGGCGACGGCTCCGGCGATGGTGGGGGGAGCGGGGGTCGGGGCAATGGAGGAGGTGGTGGTGGCGGCGGCGGCGGCGGCGGCGGCAGTGGGCGATTCGGGAATGGCAATGGAGGAGGGGGTGGGGGAGGAGGTCGAGGGAAGGGCAACAATAATGACAGCAACGACAACACGGACAGGAAGAATAGCAATAATGGTAACGAAAACGATGGTGGCGGGAGGAACAAGAACACAGAAAGCAACGACAGAGGTAATGACAAGGGTACAGCTCCCCCTGTCGCCTTCGCACCTGAAGAGTCGACCTCGGCACCTCCACCTCCACCAGAGACAACAACAGCAGTTGATCCTCCGCCTGCCACGGACACACCAAGTTCGACAGAAGCCCCGGCCCCAGCTCCGGCCACAACAGATTCTCCACCTCCAACTGACACCCCCACTACCGTACCAGACCCAAGTACTGTTGTCCTCGTCTCTACCGTAACGCCATCGGCAGCTGTAAGTTCATACCGTCCCCCATTCTCGTTATCGCAAGCTAACCTCCCAACAGGCACCCGTGCTGACAACCTTTATCCCGTTAATGACCACGACGGCGCTACCCGATGCTGATCCCTCCGCACCAAGGAAGGGACTCACCGATCCGATTTCGCCCTCCGACCTATCGAGCATCATAACCGGCACAGCGCTAGCTGATACACTTCCCACCACTACAGCTCTTGCCGTCAGTGCTGTGCAGGGGATCGGTGGCATTGGCGGAAATGGCAACAACAACAACGGGACCAGGAACGGTGACGGAAATCGGGGCAACGGCAACAATGGGAACCGGAATAAGAACAATTTCAACAACAATAACAAGCAGAAGAGTGGTCTGGATCCAGTGGCTGAGAGAGCTCTTATCTCGGTCGGCTCAATAGGTGAGATATACCTCTTCGCGTCCCTTGAGTCACAAATGTACTGACATCAGTTTAGGCGGCTTCATCTTGATTTGTTTCCTAATATGGATCGTCTGGCGGACGATGAAGAAGGCCAAGGCGAAGAAGAACAACGGCGGTGTCAGCCCGGCCAGCAGCCGGCGTTGGCCAAGACCAGTGTTGCTGGACCGACTCGTTGCTAAGGTTCCCTTCCTCAAGAACCGGCAAAGACAATGGCAGAACATCGACGACTCCAGCGTTACCGGGATACAACCGCCAAGCTACAAATCAGGGTCCGGAATGGCACAAGCTGAGCCGACCAGGGACTTCTATGCCCAAGAAAAGACCTACCAGCTCCCATCAAGGAGCCAGTCCATGGACCGGTCGGCAAACGCACCATTGTCGGCATCCCCTCTACAACAAAACCCGCCGAACATGGCCTTCGTCAACGCCCCTCTAACTCTGGACACGAACGTCGCCCCAGTTACCTACCAACCAACATCGGCCCACGGAAACCCAATCAATACATACATTAACAGCCCCCTTACCCTCGACACCAACATCTCACCCCAATATACCCATCAACCAGGCCAACAATCCTTCAGCTCGACCAACGCCGCCCAGTTCGGCGAGCTACGCGGCTCAACAGACGACGCCTCGACCCTCCGTTCCCGCATGGGTCCAAACGCCTACTACAACCAATCCGAACTCGCGCGGGGACCCTCCGACGCCTACGACCCGTCCCGCCGGCAGGTAAACCGCGTCTCCCAGCTCTCATCCATTTCCTCCGGCTTCGGCGACGGGGACATCATAATGCCAGACAGCACGGCCACGCCTATGATCAAACCCCCTCAACCGGCGACCACCAGCCTCCGCCAGTCGACCAATCTCGTGGGACGCTTCTCGTGGGTATCGTCCAGCGCGAAGAGCAGCAGGCGCGACACGGTCTACACGCAGTCGAGCGAGGACTCGCCGCCGCGGTTCAGGAGCGTCGGCAGCTGGGTGAACCAGCAGGCGGGGCGCGTCAAGAGGGCGCAGCAGAGGCATGGCGGCGGGGATGGAACGGGGGAGGATGCGCCGCCCTTGCCTGCCGTGCCGTCGAGTCAGTCTGTGGGTGTGCCGGGGATCCATAACCCGCCCGCGGAGCAGAGCTTTAACATGATGATGGGGGATGACGAGGTGCCTAGGCGGGTGGAGGATACGATGGTGTCGCCACAGAGGTGATAGCTCTGGACCCAGGGGCAGAGGGGAGAGAGTAGGGGATGTAATACCACGCTCGCTATACTGTATTCCTATTTTTCTGTATATAGCTACACATGATGACAACGGCCATGGGATATCAGTCTCTGCCATCCTCTTCAAGCCTGGCGCTTGGGAGGACAGAGTTGGGTTGAGCCGGCGTACTTCATTAATTTATTTTTATTTATTCCAGACCCCTATTCGATTGGGAGGTCGACATTGTTTTACTCGTGGGTATACCTTTGAAAGTCAGAGAATATTTCCCCAGCGACCACTGTGACATGTGTTACTAAACCGCTTTGATGAGTTATTCTCATACTGTGTAAGACCTCGCGCAAAGTCCAGATCGTGGTGGACTGAGTAATAAGTATAGGGTAGCTGGTCATCTGCAACCAAAGCCGACTCGAGCCGCCAAGGCGGTGAATCCTGCCAGCTGCAAGATTTCAATGCGAACTGCACTTTACCCTCGTGGGACTAGCGTGCTTTGCCCCGCCATATCCTGGGCGGCAGCCTTTTTCTCCCCCTCGTTGGAATTTCAACCCACTTTATTTGTTGTTAGCACAGGCTTCTTCTCTTTGCTATCCTCGAGATTTTCTAACGAAGTCCCCTCTGTGCCGCTACCAAACACTTTCCAACACCACCACCACCCACTCTCTTTTCCTCCAACAACCCCCCTCAAAACCGCCAATATGATTATCTTCAAGGTGAGTTGTTGCTGCCATTGCCAGGCCTTACACGGACTGCCCGAGTTCTGGGCGCTGTTACAGCAGAAGAAGAAACGGGACATGGTGGACTGACCCCGCATTCTCGAACAGGACGTTATCTCTGACGACGAGATCATCTCGGACTCGTACGACCTGAAGGAGGTCGATGGCATCGTCTACGAGGCCGACTGCGCCATGATTGTCGAGGGCGCCGTCCAAGTCGGTTAGTTTTGCGCCCCATAGCAACGCAAACATCACAATGGGCGGGCAACACCCCCCCACGTTGCAAGCCCAATGTTTGTGTGAAAACAACGAATCAAATCACTAACACATTGCTCCCCCGAAAACAGATATTGGCGCAAACGCTTCCGCCGAGGAGGCCGAGGAGGGTGTCGAGGACCAGGCCGTCAAGGTCAACAACATCGTCCACTCTTTCCGCTATTCGAGCACCCAGTTCGACAAGAAGTCGTACCTGACCTACCTTAAGGGTGCGTCCCATCCCCACGAAATCCAGACCTTCAGCCTTTTTCCACGGTCGCCAGAGACAGAGAGACTAACAGATAGTAAAACAAACAGGCTACCTCAAGGCTGTCAAGGCCGCCCTCCAGGAGCAGGGCAAGTCCGAGGCCGAGATCAAGGCTTTCGAGTCGGGCGCCCAGAAGTTCGTCAAGGAGCGCGTGCTCGCCAACTTCAAGGACTGGGAGTTCTACACCGGCGAGTCGATGAACCCCGACGGCATGTGAGTTACAACCCGCGTCCCCCCTCCAACACATTGTGATTGTTTTCGACACACAAGGTGTGAAGTTCCATGTACTCACACAGTTTCGCATAGGGTCATTCTCCTCAACTACCGCGAGGACGGCACCACCCCCTACATCACCGTCTGGAAGCACGGCCTCACAGAGATGAAGGTTTAAGGGGATCGAACTGGGCTTCGGTTTCTTGCTGGTTTAACGTTCCCTCATGACAAAAAAGCGCCCCCCAACCCATCCAACATTTCCCTTGTAGGGAAATCTGAATGGGAATATAGAGAATTTGAGAAGTTGAAAAGACACACACACATGATTTTGGTGGTGTGGAAATACAACTCGATTCCTCCAGTCAAGAAACTCTCGATTTCTAGTTCTTACACAAAGAGATCGCCAATATAGAGAATGTCTTTCTTTTTTGTCCCCGTCTCACTACAGTGCGACCGAGATGTGATTGCTCTTACTGTGACCGACGGGATTTTGAGATCGTCGAAGAACTGCTACTGGCACCCCTACCAGTGGACGCCACTACAACTCTTGAGACTACATCATCCAAACTCGCTCCCGTTCACAAGACGTGCTTCCAAAGCAGAGTGCAAAGAATGCCTCTTCTGATGAGAGGTTCGGCATTTCATCTAAACTGGTCACCCTCCTTAAGGCTCTTTCTTCACTGATGCTGATAAAGACCATGGTATAACGCCGACCCCAAAATGAAAAACTCATGGACCATCATACAGCAAAAAGAATGTTCTTCTCTTTCTCCTGTTCCCTCGTTGTCCCCGTCTCATTCCAGGAAATTTGACGCCTGAAAAGCAAAAAAGTAATGATTAGAGTGGGATTCGAACCCACGCCCTTTCGGACCACGGAGAACAACAGATGTTTTAAGGGTTTGAGATAACCTTAACGTGGCGCCTTAGACCGCTCGGCCATCTAACCTTTTCGTTGGTGATAGAGTTTTGTGTCCACTATTGGGTCTCACCGGGTGGCTGTATGCATGTTGTTGGGTCCGGTCCCGGACTCCGAGTCAGGCGTTTCGTCACCGACCATTATCGGGTTGAGGTAAGGTAGGTCTGATCTGAGTTTAGAACTTCGGTCTCGTGGCTAATGGTACCGGCGGAGGGGGCGGTGCTGTGTCGTTTGCTTGGCTGCTGCTGGGGCAGGAGGATAGGGCGGGTTTCTTCGCTGGGGGAGGGGGAGGAGGGGGTTTCTTTTTGGCCGCTGCGAGGGATACGGGTGTTGCGGACGGGGTAGGATGAGACGGTGCGCCTGGTTGGTGACCGGCTAAGGCATTTGCTCGGGCGGCGACGGATGTGACCTGGTCGCCGTGGCGCTGGTGGAAGTTATGCAGCGTCGAGGCTGCCGACGATGCGTCCGCGACTGATACGGAGGAGGGGTCTTTGTGGAGGGATGAGGCCGTCTGCAGGGCCGCTCGTTTCTGGGCCCAGGTTGTACCGGTTGTACCGGTCGGTTGCGAAGGTGTTGTTGCAGATGGGGAAGTCGGGGGAGGAGGTGAACCTATGCCGAAGCCGGGCACGGATATTCCTCGTGCTGAGAGGGAGTTGATTGCGGATTGGTTTAGGTAGCCGGCCTGTGGCCCTGTGGTTGTGGTTGCTGTTGCTGGCTGCGGAGAACGAACTGGCGGAGGGGGCGGATGGCTGGCAGATACGGCGGGAGAGGCCGTGCGTGGAGGTAGTCGCGGAGGGAGGGATGGCGGTGCCGGTTTAGCGTGGGTGTATGATGGTGGAGGGGACGGTGTCGAGGTTGTGGCGTCCCCTGCTCGTCTTGGGGGCGGAGGGAGGTGGGAGGTAGACAGGCCGGTTGTGTCGACGCGGTAGGGCCTTGGAGGGGGTGGTGGTTCCTCTACAGCCGGTTCTTGGGGCACACGAGTGTTCGTATAGCTCTGGTGTGCAGGTCCTGTTGCTGGAGGTCGGTACGGTTGACCTGGCGGAGGAGAGGGAGTGGCGCCCGTTGCGACATGTTTCGGTGGGGGAGGAAAGGAGGCCGGGTCGCGGAGAGATGATATCGGGGTTGGGTTGCGGTAGGTCTCCTCCTTCTTGTTGCCCTTGCCTACGAGACCTTTCTGCGCATGAGGTGAGTTCGGGAGCTGCAAGGTCGAGCCAGGAGTGCTAAGGAGAAGAACATACCAGTGAGTCTTTGATTGGCACATCCTTCTCCGGATGCCAGCCTTTCTTTACAATGTCCTTGAGGCCCGACATCTTGAAAGAACTTGAGAAGAAGGCAGTCATAGCAGTAAAGTGAGTACACAGGACTTCTATAGAAGGATGTTGTAGGTACTTCGTAGGTACCGTGGGAGAGTCAAATGATGAATGACCTGGATGATTAAGGGTCTCGGCCCAGGGCGGGATGACGTACCCATAGCGGCGCAGCCAATAGGAGGCCAAGCGCAATCAACCCCCACCATCTCGCCAAACCTCCCGGCGCAAACGCGACTTAACGCGTCTCTTTACTAAACAAAAGTTCCATTATCGCCAAACCTCGTCCCTAGCAACGTCTGCTCCAAGTATGCCCGTACCCGCAACAACAATGGCAGAATCAGACATTGCCCTCTTAACAGAGCACTTTGGTTATCCGCCAGTGGTTAGTATTATCTTTCCCCGTCCCTTCCTATACAACCCATCTCTAACTAACTCTCCCAACCTCCAGTCACTCCTAGACGACATAATCAACAGCATCAACGTCCTCGCCGACCGCGCCCTCGGCAGCGTAGAGAAGGGCCTCATCAACGCAACACCTCAAGGTCTAGGCTTCAAGCAGCCTACCGCCCCCGCACAACCCTCAAAGCCCACCCGTTCATCCCGCAATGCCACCACCAACCCCAACCCCGACACATCCTCCTCCATCGTTCTCTCCCCCGAAGAAGCGGCCCGCCACGAGATAGAAAACGGCACGCACCAGCTCGAGACCTTGCTCTGTTCGAGTATCGATCGCAACTTTGACAAATTCGAGCTCTACGTCATGCAGAACATCCTCTGCATCCGCCCCTCCGAGCCGAGGGAGTGGATACGGCTGGGACACTACGAGGGGTTGGACTTGGAGAATGCTACTACTACCACTACCTCTGCAGACGACGAGAGCCAAGACGGGAGACCGAGCCTCAACGGCGTGAGGAGGTTGCGGAGGAGGCTGCAGGCCAGTCAGCAGCTGAACGCCATGCTACACGCCGAGAGGGCGAGGAACGACGCGCTGCTGGAGGCGTTGAGGGGTGTGGTAGGTGGACCTGCTGCGTTGGAGAAGAAGCCGGTTGAGGAGGACAGGAACACACCGGCAGCAGAGCCGACGAAGATGGCGGTCGATAGGGAGCACGTCGATCTGAGCGCCGAGACGAAGCCGCCGTTTGGGTTCTTGCATGATGCCGGTGGGCTGGCGACGGGCGCGTCGGATAAGCCGCTCGAGACTACGACGGCTTTTACGCTCAGCCAGCTGCAGGCTCTGAGGGCGCTGTCGACGAGCTTGAGGAATATCATGCCTGATCTTGAGGCGCCGAGGGATGGGGAGGAGGAGGATGACGGGGGGAGGAAGAGCTGGCGGAGGCAGAGGATGGAGTATGTCGAGACTGCGACGAGGAAGCACCTCGAGCAGGCCAGAGGGCTGGAGTTGGGGAAGGACGGAGAGGTCAGAGATGGGGATTGGCAGGGTGAGGGGAGGAGGTTGGCTAAAGACGAGGTGGAGGGGTTGGAGAAGGCTGTTGCTATGCTTGGTGGTGCTGGGCCAGCTGCGGCTGGGGCATCGAACGAGGATGCAATGGATGAGTCGTGAGGTGTATATGGGGTATGGATTGTTTTCAGGAGTTTATGGCAAGGTTAAGATACGGAGTTGTGACCAGAAGGTCTTATGGGCAGGATTTACTTATGTTGGGGGTGACGACGGTCTCCCAACTTGATTTTTGGTACTGGTATTGGGCGTATTGTACATATGCACAGCTCCCTCTATGCTCTTCTAAGCAGCTTGACTGGCGCTCATCTCCTCGCGCGGAAACCCGTACTCCTCAGCCAAGTGCCAGAACCTGTGGTTCCTAGATGGCTTATCGCCAGACATGTGCTCCTCCAGGGGATCCTTGGCCTTCGCTTTCCTGGCAAAGTCAATCACTCTAGCAACAGAGCTCGTCTGCCCGCTGCGGCCCAGCACGAGCAGCAGCTCATACAGCGTCGACAGGCTGATCTTGGACCCGGACTCCTCCATTATGTCGAAGATCCTCATGGCCCGTCCGATGTCGTTGACCTGGCAGTACCCGAAGATGACTTGCTCCCAGAACACCCAGTCGATGTCCCTGTTGTCGTGCAGCCGCCGGTTCTCGATCAGCGCCGTCACGGCGTCCGAGTCGGGCGGTTGGCGCGAGAAGTAGTGCTCCGCAAGCATCGTGTAGATGTGCGACGTCAGCTCCTGGCCCTGGCCCCAGATGTGCGCGAGCACGGCCTTGACGGGCTCCTGGGTCTGGTCGCCCTGCTCGAGGAGCAGGTAGATCATCTTCGCGTACAGCTGCATGTTGGCTTTGACGCCCGCGTCGTGCATGTTGCGTAGGAGCGTCTTGACCGTCCGCACTTGCTCCTGCGGCGCCTGCTCGGCGATGTCATACAGGGCGCCCTCAAGGAGAATAGTGAATGTGGCGACGTCTGCTTTCAGGTTCTGCCTCTCCATCGTCTTGAGGATAGCCTGGACCTCGTTGTCGCGGCTTTCTCTTATCAGTGGGCGGAGCAGGGTGTTGAAAGTGTAGATGTCCGGCGCGATGTCTTGCTTAGCCGCCCACGAAAGGAGCCCGCTAGTCACGCCGGGGGAAAGTCGCTCCAGTCGCTGCAGCCCCGCGAGCGCGGCGTTCACGGGCTGAACGGTAGGCTTGACAGCGGCTGGGCTCCTCTTGGCCGGAGGAAGCTTCTCGTTCGCTTTCCAAATCCTAGCCATCTCGTCCAGCGCCGCTAAACCTTCTTCCGGACTGCCGAGCTGTATCAGTCCCGCGACACGCGCAGTCCATATGACCGTGTCCAGCTGTACTTTGGCCGAGAGCAATTTCTCCCACACATTCCTCAGCCCGATTAGATTATTTGCCCGCTTGCAGCCGTCAATCATGGAGGTCCAGGTCTTGATCGTCGGTTCGATGCCGATGCTGACCATTGAGTTCCATACCTCAATGGCACGACTTGGTTGCCGCATGGCCATGTAAGCCATGATGAAGTAGTTGAAAAGCTCGGGGTTGTCCCGGCACAGCTGGAGCTTAGAGTCCGGAGGTCTCGCATAGGTGCCCCAGAACTCTTCCCACGCACGGTTGAGTATCTTCGGGTTCCGAGTGTTCCAGGCTTGACCGAGTTTGCGATGTATTTTCTTCGTCTGCTGATTGCTTTGACCCTCCTCGGCTTCCTCGACGGTATCCTGGAACTTGAGCTGCTCATCGAGCTGTGTCTCGACCACGGACCAGCGCTCGGTGATATATTTCAACAGGGCGGGATACTGCCCGTACATTGTATCCAGTTCGTCTTTGCTGGGGCGATTATGATGAAGCGCAGTTGTCATGTCATCCACGAAATGGCCGATCTCATGTCTGAACATGCGATTCGTCCTGTTGATCGGATCTACGAGCATCACGTATGTCGCAATGGCTGCGGGTACGGTCAGGCGGAGTGCTCGAGGGTGATAGTGGGGGAAAAGAGCCGAGACAGTGACGGTATCCTTCCCCTGAGAAGCGTTGTTCGCCATATGCCGTCGTCTGCCGAGAGTTGGCAGGCGGGCAGACGAGGCCGTCTTGCCTCCCTCGCCGGCCCGAGCACCCACGTAAGGGGGCACGTTGAACACCCTCCAAGCACCGATCAGATCATGCAGAAGCGTGTCCCTCCTAGCCATAGACGTTTCGTAAGCCTCGATCGTTGTATAGTCCTGGGGGGAGGCGCTGATGCTGCATAAGTGGTTCAGGAGCGCCGTGTTTAGTG